CAGGAATTCTTACCTGTGCTTCAGCCCAGCATACAGACTGCTGACAGGTACCAAGTGGACACACCTGCTCATAGTGTACTGTTTGTCGACATGTTTTACTGCCCATGGTTTTCAGCTCTTTGTTCCTCAGTGCTCTTTTTCATGCTTTATTTAATTTTTTAATTTGTTCTGCATTCCTTGGCAAACCATCTGGTTGTAATATTGTAACATTTCTTATTTTTTTCCATAAGTTGCCAGTGTTTTTGTGTTCAATTTAAAAATCATTATGGATCTGGAAATAAGTGAACGTTATATAAAACTGTGTAAGACTAAGTACACATTAGATTAGGCACTAAATTATGATTCTCTTTTGGTAAAACATAAGGCATTCGGTCCTAAATATTTAAGGATGCTGAAACTTATTCTAAGTAAATTTTTATTCTCAGATTTTCATATTAGTGTTGAGGTCTTGGTCTAAATGGGCATAAGCACAGTATCTTCCTGCCACTGGTACTGTTTTTTCTGACCTTACCTGTCCGGATTGAAAATATTTGGTAGAGGCCAGAATGCTAGCGTAAGACCAAGACTTATCCTGGTCTTAAACCACAAAAGCTAATTCGTCCTCTTCTTCATCCAAACTTGCCAGAAGAATAAAGCCTCTGATAGAAATACAGTTGAGTTGTACCACTCTTCATATATGGAAACAACACCTTTGGCCCGTGACAGCATTTTATTATGTTTTTACTAGTATTAAGGGGAGCGTGTGCTTGGAGCCATCCACGCCCTTTAGCTCAGTGTCTGCAAATAACCAGCGTCTTTCAGTGGGTCAGAGGGAGGGCTCCCATTTGGGGTTGCAGTCTGGGTCCCCCGAGAGCAGTATCTCAGGGCAGCATAAAGGGGCTGCACGAGCTCCCAGCGGGGCTTACTGACACTGTACTTACTACTGAGTCACCAGCCAGACCTGATTAAAGATGTCCATAGAGAACTGGCTGTGCTGTCTCACTGTGCGGTTCTGTAAACTGTCCATGGGCATTGTAGGGTGTCCTGTAATATCTTGCCCTTCTAACAAAGCCTGTTTTGTTTTTCTTTTTCCTTCTGTTACATTGCAACTTTCTGACTTCTGTTGTACTTATTTTATATAATTCAAGTTTTAAAAACAGAAACATTTTGGAGTGGTTTCAACAGTTTAATCTTGGCCAGTACCTAAAAATCTAATTTTAAATCCCCATGACTGTGTCTTAGGGAAGTTAGGCAGTAGGAGTGGAGAATGGAGGTGGCTTCTTTTTGTCTAAATCTACCAAATTACTAACTGGTAGTTAAAACGCCTTTCCTTTTGATTGAACCCATTGAATTTTGCTAGGTTTTTCTTTTGCTTCCTTCATTTTGGTGTTTGGAGTTTCCTGGGGTTTCCTCTGTAATTTCCTTCTCTGAAGCCCACCCTCCAGGGCGTCGTGAAGGACCCACCTGTGCTCCCACCGGCCCAGCCTAGCCCAGCACGCAGGGCTCCCGGGCCCCAGCAGGCCCTCAGGAAGCTTTGCATCAGCGACTCTGCTGCTCTCTCCCCGCCGGTGCTGGACTCTTGTCTTGGGGCCCCAGGTCCTCCTGCTTCTTTGCAAAAAGACCTGGAGGAGCTGTCCCATCCTGGCCTCACAGGGAGAGAGACACGCCTGTGGCCCGCAGCCTGTCACGGGGCACTGGCCGGGGGCCGCGGCCATGGCCACGCTCGCTCAGGCATCCCCCTCCCTGCTGCTGCCTCTGCACTCAGCTGGCCTGGCTGGACCCAAACTGTGTGGCCAGGGTGGTCTGGACTCCGTCAGCCCCAAGTTACTGAACTGTGCACGAGTCACAGAGGGAAGCACAGCGTCAGGGCTGCAGAAGTTAGAAGCCAAGCAGGCAGCATCTTGCCAAACATGCGATGTTTAGAATAGCCTTTTCCTGAGTGGGGAAGACGACTCTCTGGCTTTAAGTCTTTCTGAAGAGGAACGGGCAGTGGAGGCGGTTTGGTTGGGGCTTTTTGCTTTTTTAAACTCTTCGCTAGATTTGAGGCAGCCTGTTCTCCTGCCCCAGAGTCATGACCCGTGCTGCCCTGCTAACTGTGGTGTCTGTCTGTTTCCCTGTCGCTGCCCCAGGCACCACACGGTCACCCGGGGCATCACCAAGGGCGTGAAGGAGGACTTCCGCCTGGCCATGGAGCGCCAGGTATCCCGCTGTGGGGAGAACTTGACGCTGGTGCTGCACAGGTTCTGCGTCAACGAGAAGATCTTGCTGCTCCAGACTCTGGCCTGACCAGCGCTCCCGCCAGAGGCAGCCCACAGCCGCGGGGCTCTGGGGAGACATAAAGCGCAGATGAGCATTGCCGTCATCGCTCTTCAAAAGAGGAAGAGCCTTGGGGTTTTAACTCACTGGTCGCTTAGAAGTAGTTCCCAACAGTCCAAGAAGCTATTTCTATTTTTGTCGTATTTTGTAATTTTTGTAAAACAAAAGAAACTGTTTTGTAAATAAAATCATCCTAAATTTGTGGGGGGGTTTTCAATTTTATTTTTAATTCTTAAGAGTTTCTGAACAAGAGTGTACTTTACTTAAAAAGGCATTTCCTTCCACGTTCTCGAGATTTTCTTTTCCACAGTCAGGTTTTGGTGACTATCACATATCAACATAATGCTAGACCTTTTCCTTCAGGAAGTTTTAACACCAAAATCCTTTGTGCCAGGATGAACTTGAGTGAACTTACTCTGAAGCCGCCGTGGGGGGCCAGGGGTGGGGGGTCCTGCCCAGTGGCCCGTGGAGGGCGCCTCCCCTCCCTGTCGGCTGCTGTCACCTGGGTGCCCTGAGCCAGACAGCCTAGCCTCCGGCCTGGTTCTGCCCAGCCCTTTACTTGCCACGTACCAGGGACAGATTCGTGTCCCTCAAGCTTGTCATGGGAAATACAGGCACTGGCCCTTCCCTCCCAGCTGGCTGTAAAGCCAGTGACGTGACGCACTTGGGATGGGGCCTCACACTTCTAAGTACAACACTGGGGTCAGGGGTCGGGTTCATTTCTTTTGCTGTTCCTGAAATATATCAAGGTAAGCATCACATGAACAGTTGTTTCTGGGGGGATGTAAGAATGAAAGAGCTAAGAAGTTGTTCAGTTACTGTTACTGGACCAGGCCCATTGGCCCAACATGCAGCAAGCCAAATGCTGAGAGGCCAAGGTTTGCAGCTGAGAAAGACTTTATTCCTAAGGCAGCCAAGCAAAGAGACAGGAGAACGAGTCTCAGGTCCGCCTGCCCGAAGGCAAGGGGCTCGGGGTATGTGTGTTGTGAGCAGGGTGGTCTCGGGAGTGGGGACAGATGAGGTGATGGGTGTTCTGTGCGGGGACATCTGGGCTCGTGCGTCTGCACGTTCACAGTGGAGGCACCGAGCGCCGTCTGAGGGTGGAGACTTCTGGCGGCAGAGGCCGTTCATGGGAACCCCCAAGGCCCAGTTTCAGGAGCAGTGGTCCCAACCGGTCCTAGCCAGCTCACATCGGGCAGGAGCTGATTACAAGTTCCTGGGCTACGGGAGGCTGGGAGGCGTGCATTTAAAGAGGAAGAAAAGGAAAATAAAGTGAGCTTGCTCAGTGAAAGCAGGCCACAGGGGTTTTTAAGCTGTTCCCTTTGCTGCTGTTCTGTGAGAGAAGCTCGGGAACTTCCGTTAGTCACCAGTCTCTGTCAACCCTGTGGGGCATGGTTTCATTACTGTGCACAAAAATTTTAGAAATCTTTTCTATATAAGACCCTTTTATAGATTTAAAATCGATGGGAAACTGCAACGAGAGAAGCCACCACAATGAGAAGCACGTGCACCACAACGAAGAGTAGCCCCTGCTCACCACAACCGGAGAAAGCCGCATGCAGCAATGGAGACCCAATGCAGCAAAAATAAATTATTATTTTTAAAAAATCAATAGGAGAGCAGCTTTCCAAGATGGCGGAGGAGTAAGACGCAGAGATCACCTTCCTCCCCACAGATACACCAGAAATACATCTACACGTGGAGCAACTCCTACAGAACACCTACTGAACGCTGGCAGGAGACCTCAGACCTCCCAAAAGGCAAGAAACTCCCCACGTACCTGGGTAGGGCAAGAGAAAAAAGAATAAACAGAGACAAAAGGATAAGGACGGTACCTGCACCAGTGGGAGGGAGCCGTGAAGGAGGAAAGGTCTCCACACACTAGGAGCCCCTTCGCGGGCAGAGATTGCGGGAGGCGGAGCGGGGAGCTTCGGAGCCGCGGAGGACAGCACAGCAACAGGGGCGCGGAGGGCAAAGCGGAAAGATTCCCACACAGAGGATTGGCGCCAACCGGCGCTCACCAGCCCGAGAGGCTCGTGTGCTCACCCGCCGGGGGCGGGCGGGGCTGCGAGCTGAGGCTCGATTTCGGTTTCGGTCGGAGCTCAGGGAGAGGACTGGGGTTGGCGGCTTGAACACAGCCCGAAGGGGTTAGTGCGCCACGGATAGCCGGGAGGGAGTCCGGGGGAAAGTCTGGACCTACCCAAGAGGCAAGAGACCTTTTCTTGCCTCTGTGTTTCCTGGTGCGCGAGGAGAGGGGTTTTAAGAGCGCTGCCTAAAGGAGCTCCAGAGACGGGCGCGAGAAAAGCTCGGAAACCAGAGACGGGCGGGAGACGCTAAGGCTGCTGCTGCCGCCACCAAGGGCCCTGTGTGCGATCACAGGTCACTATCCACACCCCTCTTCCGGGGAGCCTGTGCAGCCCGCCACTGCCAGGTTCCCGGGACCCAGGGACAATTTCTCAGGGAGAACACACGGCGGGCCTCAGGCTGCTGCAACGTCACGCCGACTTCTGCCGCC